TATATATATATATAATTTAGGACCTCAACAACAGAAGGAGTCCAATCAGATAAAAGAAGAGTGAAGAAAACCTGAGACTTCCAAAAGTGAGAGAATAGTCTCAACATTGACACTATGGGTTTTACAGAAGAACAGAAGGAAAAGGCACAGTGACGTATGTCTGTCATCTCAGCACTTGAGAGGCAGAGGCAGGAGAAGCACCCACAAGTTTGAGGCCAGCCTGGCAGCCTGTGCTACATAGTAAGTGCCAAGCCTCACAGGGTACATAGCAAGACCCTGTCTTAAAAAAAAAAAAATCGGGTCTCCGCCTCCTGCATCGCGGCTGCGGCGGCTTCCGCCTGTATTTCCCCTGGCCCGGTGCGGGGTGGGCACGGCGGACGCGCGGTGCTGCGCCAGCCACTGACGGGCGACGATGTCGGACATCGGGGACTGGTTCAGGAGCATCCCGGCCATCACGCGCTACTGGTTCGCCGCTACTGTCGCGGTCCCCTTGATCGGCAAGCTCGGTCTCATCAGCCCGGCCTACTTCTTCCTCTGGCCTGAAGCTTTTCTCTACCGCTTCCAGGTATGGAGGCCACTCACTGCCACCTTTTATTTCCCCGTGGGTCCAGGAACTGGATTTCTTTATTTGGTCAATTTATATTTCTTATATCAGTATTCTACACGACTTGAAGCAGGAGCTTTTGATGGGAGGCCAGCAGACTATTTATTCATGCTTCTCTTCAACTGGATTTGCATCGTGATTACTGGCTTAGCAATGGATATGCAGCTGCTGATGATTCCTCTGATCATGTCAGTACTTTATGTCTGGGCCCAGCTGAACAGAGACCTGATTGTATCATTTTGGTTTGGGACACGATTTAAGGCCTGTTATTTACCTTGGGTTATACTTGGATTCAACTATATCATTGGAGGCTCGGTGATCAATGAGCTAATTGGAAATCTTGTTGGACATCTTTATTTCTTCCTAATGTTCAGATACCCCATGGACTTGGGTGGAAGGAATTTTCTATCCACACCTCAGTTTTTGTATCGCTGGCTACCCAGCAGGAGAGGCGGGGTGTCAGGGTTCGGTGTGCCCCCTGCTAGCATGAGACGAGCTGCTGATCAGAACGGTGGAGGCGGGAGACACAACTGGGGTCAGGGCTTCCGACTTGGAGACCAGTGAGGAGTGACCAGGCCTGCCCACCAGCCATTCTGCTCAGACGACGTGTCCTCCCAGTGCTGGGTGTGCTGATGGCCAAGTTCTTGCTGTCGCTCTTGGACCTGACCCACACTGAATGTAGTCTTTCAGTACAAAGACAGCATATTTTAAACCTTGAAGGAAAATACAAGTGTTCCTCCTCAAGTTTCATGATTCCCATTCAAGTCCTTTCCACTATGAAGAACAAATTATCAGCCATGCAGATTTCAAAATTGACTCCTTTTCTGATGTCTTCTTCTCCTCCCTTTCCATCTAAATAATGAGCTGAGCAAGTGGGTTGGCTAACCAAATCCTGTCAAGAGGATTCTTTCCTTTCTCACACATATGCCCCACCCACTCTTCTTCCAGCCCGCAAAGTTGCAACTTGAAGGGTTGTGCACAGAATGGTTTTGCCTTTAAGAAACTCTTATTTATTGACTTTTGCCAAAGCTTGGTCATAAAGAACTTGTTCACACAGTTGTTTCCCCTTTATTGGCAGAACTGTAGCAATGGGGGAGAAGACTGAAGCAGTGGATGAAGAGTGTTGGGGATGTGTCAGCCTGGCAGCAGCTACAGCCATTCACCGCCTCTTCAGATATTTTTATATGAAAAGCACTACTGAAGTCAGTGGGCGCCTAGACTGGTGTTAATGAGGTTTAGTAGTTGTTGCTAGGAGGTTTTTTTCCTAAGCCAAGTGATGAAAACCGTAGTGGAGTTGCTTCTAACACAGGATGGGGTTAAGTGTGAGC